AGATTCAGAAATCTCAGGCCAAGACCTCCGTCCTCCAAGACCGAATATTTTTAATTTTCCGTATTTAAAAAATGTATTCTCAATTCCAGACAACCTCAGCCAAATCCAACATGTCCCAATGGGTCCAGGCTCTCGAATGTCTCCGAACTTGAACACCCATCTTTTAAACCAATACAGCCTCAATGGCTACCGAGTGCCTCAGCAACAATTCAATAATCTCCCCGTTCAGATGATGAACGTCCAACCCAGTGTGCAATACCCCGCTCCGGACCCGAGAGCGCAGCAGCCGAATGTCTATGCATATGCGGGATACATCAATCCTCCACCTCCTTTGACGATGCAAACGTTGAACTCTACTATGCGTCGGTAGCCTCGACCCAAATTTAGGAAGTGATAGTGCAAAGTGATCGGATAGCCGGGTTTGCTAATTGATTACCCATACTCGATATAAGTATTCGACAAAAACCTTTTCGACTGACTTTAAGCAAGTATTGCAGTGAGTAGAGTTACCTACTGCGTCAAATAAGCTTATGGGTAGCGACCGGTTGATCCGAGCCCAGCGTAGAGACAATACTCGTGGTTGGAACTGACATTGACCAAAAAGAGTGTATTTTTAAGTAATAGTACAAATAACAGTAGTTTACATGTAAATAAGAAACTATTAACACCACTTGAGTTGCCTTGTCAGTGTTGTCTTTGTTACGGCAGCTGTGCGGGTGTAGGCTGTATACGATACCGACATTCACCAGTACTGATATTAAAATAAAATCTTATGATTTTCTAAGAATTGGTTGTTTTGACTGTATCAGAGTACCTTGGAAGAGGAGCTTTAATATTATATCTTACACGTCTACGCCCGCACTTGTATCATAATATGAATTATGTATGTAGATCATTTCTCCATGAGGAAACTGACGAATATGCTGAGTAAAGTACAAAATTACTGAATAAATGTTTTAAGACTTTTGTATTGAACCCTCGCGGTCGACGAATGTAGCATAATGTATAGTGCAATAAAGTATGATAACATTGCGATTTTTATCCGTTTACAGTTTAGATATCGGCGCGTGTACTGTGATATCTTCGATCGGACTCTTTACGGGCGTGCTTAATTCATAATTAATATTTTATAACTCCCAAAGAAGTAAGTATTAAGCGTAATTAAAGCAGAGTGCAATCGATTTCGTAAAAATGTACTGTTTTATGTAAAAATTGTTTGAAATTCTTTTATGTGTATATGCTGTTTTGTTTTTCCATCGAGATGTAATATACATACATTATGTGTACAGAATGCGTAGGAATAATTTATCGTCTGATCTGTTCATAAAAGTGCCTCTTTCTCGTCCCAAACTATGCTTAATTTTGATGTAAAATATTGTAAATGGACCGCTTTACTTAACACAAGGCTGTACAGGATCAATGATTCTTGTGTAAATGTTATGGTTGTTTTTACCTTGTGATGTATTAGTTCTCATTGGCACGAGTGATGAAGGGAGCCATTTCATTGAAAACAGGCCTAATAATTAGTTTATTTTTTAACAGTATGCTAATATTAATTTTACGATTTGCATTTTAAGGGTTATTTTTCGTTTTATCCTAGTTATTTATTGCCAAATGTTATTAACATTCAATTTAATTTTAAGTTTATCGACCCTTAGTGTCGGCGAGGGGCGCTCCCATACAGTAAATTATTTGTAAGATCTGCTCTTTACGTTTTAAATGTTATTTGTTATTAATGTGTAGGATATAAAATATTGTAAATATGATAAATCGTAAGACCTTGTAGCAGGTGTTATTACACAAAATATAATTTTGTGAAAAATTTTGCAGTTTTATTTTACTCCTTTTTGCTTAATCTGTATCAGATTGTTTTAGGAGTAAAAGTACTTGACGCCATTATAGATTGTTTGTAAGAGTAATCTCAATTACTATTAAACTGATTTAAACTTTATATCGATAACGATACGTGTAATATTGGAGAAAAAAATATAAGAACGAGTTTTTTTTCATCTATTACTTTTAAACATTGTTATTATTAGTTTGTGTCTATAAAAAGATGTTTTATCTTTTTATTGAGACCAAAAAGCGGCAAATAAAATTCAAGTATTCATTCAAAATAAATCATATTGGTATTATTTGCAATAAAATAGCGTCTGTTTAGTTAACATATACTAGACGGTTTGATTAAAAATTTCATAGTATATTTCTTTTCAATGATATAATGACGTATTATATATTCCTACTAATATGTATTATAAATACGGGGTGACTGACTAGTGAAACAAACGTATGCCCGAAGTTCGCATGAGATGAGACGGACTATACAGTATACAGTGTTTCGCGGAACAGAAATTAAGTAAACGCCAAATGCTTTTTATCATGTAGTACAATCACTAGTAACAAACTCTCGGCTAAACTAATGTGATGTCATTCAATAAATTTTTGGCTCTATAATGTTCGTCACGATTGAATAAGAATGAAATTAGACAAAAGATAGAGGTGACTGATTTTTTTGTATTGAAGAAATTATTTTGTATTGTGTTTTGAATTAATGTCAACAATTGAAATTATAGTGAAGGATCAATACCTACATATTTATTGTTTTTAATTCAAATATAGATAAAATCAAATCTACGAGAGTGATTTTGCTTAAAGCTCGCTCGGTCTTAATCAATATGAACGAATTCCTTGTGTTACAATCTTCGAGCGATTGGGATTTGGAATTTATTTGAGAACTATTATTATTTAAGTTGAAAAAGAACATTAAATTCACATTGTTTTTAAAATGAAATACTAACATAGTATCCGAGATTCGCCGATTCAATGTGTAATTATCAATTACTACTTGTAAGGTTTTACAATTTTAATTGTATATATATATATATATAAAATTGTATATGCAATATACAAAAAATATGTAGCACTTCTGGTTTATGGTAGGGGAGCCCAAGAGGGGATTTCGGGATTTACTAAAGCGCGGCAGATTAATATACAGGGGGATAGCTTGTACTCGGTTAAGTACCTCCACAAAACATGAGGTCCATATATAAAGCCGCCTGTGAAGGAGACAGGATCAGATTAGTAAAAAAAAATTGACCATCAGAAATTCCCGAGCGCATCAGATTAAGGTAGGGTGAGTTAATTACATCCTAAAAAGTGTATATTCCACTAATCTGACAATTTGAGAGTGACGGAAAAAAAGGGGAGGGCAACAAAGTTGTAAAAAAACGTCATCTCGACATTCTCGAGCGTAGCTAATTTTTTTTTATTTTGAAGGAAATAATTCAAGAATAATGAAAAATATATAATCTGACGATTTCCGCAAGCCGAAATAACAAAAATTCGTCGATAAAGTTAAATGCGTGCAGCTGCGTGATGCCTACATTTCCTTAAACCGATCGGAATCTACTAAACGGCGTTCTAAATATTTCCCTCAAAATTACATTTCCTGTGAATTTGAACCGATTCGGACCGATAGATTTTGAGAAATTTTGAAAAATCTTAAAAAAATAAGAAATATTTTTTTTAAAGTGGTTTCTTTATCGATCAACTTCAAAAACTAATCCACCTTTGAGCTTGAAAAACCACGTTGATCGCCACTAAGCTGGTCAAAAGCGGTTGATTCGTTCGAGAGATATCGTGAACGAAAGAAACCCGAAAAAGTGTTTATTCGGGATTACTCCGAAATTTGTGGTTCGATCAATTAAAATTGCAAAATTACTTATGAGGATGATAAAACTGCGTCGAATGCCGCCAACCGCGTGAAAATTGCTTGATCCATTCAAAAGTTATTGCGGTTTGAAAATTCCAAAAATAGTGTTCTATGAAACTTCTATCAGACTTTCGACCTGGGAGAGCTCAAATGCATAGAAATGTTATTTCTTTGAACTCAGCGAGCTCAAAATATCAATTTTAAGCGCCCAGGAATGGAATTAGCGGGAAGTTGCAGGGATGGCCCTTTAGGTGAACCGTTTTTCTAAATTTTTTTTGTCAGATCAGGCGAATCCCTCTAGATAATCGTCAGATTATGAGACAGTACGTTTAGAACATAAAGATGAACCACATATATCTTAATCTGACGCGCTTGAGTATTTCAAAATTGTGATTTTTTTTTGCAAATTATGAAAATGGCTGTGGGTTTGCGTCCCATCGAAATCGTCAGATTAGTGAATGAGAGCTTTTTTTTGGTGCACTTAACACTCCCTTAGAAAATCTGACGCGCTCGATATTTTTTTTTTTTCATTTTCAACCCTTAAATACAACCACCCGCATCATGCAAACGATCAGATTAACATACGTATATTATTAAAAATACGTAGGGCATAGATGCTATCAATATCTGACGCGCTCGAGGATGTCCATGCAACAGTTTTTTTTACATATTTAACTATCTATAGCCGCTTCCCCCACCGATGAAAAGGAATTTATCATATAACATTTTTTTCTTCTTATTATCTAAGCTTTGCATCCCAATAGGTCTCTACGACGCTCGAGTAAATCCCCATTTAGCATCGTGGGCTCCCCTACCATTATTAAATAGGTGGTTGTTATCTAATATTATAGAACAAAAAAAACAAAATACTGTATTAAAATTTTATTTAAATATTTACAAGAAACAAAAAAATAAATGTATCTAATATAATATTATAATAACAAATATGTAAAAAATATTGAGATCTTAAATATTTCTCTTACAGCCTATAAAAGTTTAAACAAATATTTAAAATAACAGTTTCTTACAATAAATTCTCATCAGGGGCAATTCTTACTTAACCCATTCATTTATATTTTTTATATAAAATGGTGATATCATTAAATATTTTATTTATTAAATAATTTATCTGTTTAGAAAGATGAATTGGGTAATAAGCAGGAGCTATTAGTCAAAAGAAATGTAATAATAAAGGAAAAACATTATTACAATTTAGTTCCTAGCATAGTCATATATTTACAAAAGTCTTGATAAGTATATTCTATATTAAGCAATAACACAAGCACAATTATATTTGCACATACATAGGTAACGGCACTGCTTGCGATGGTCTTCGATCAAGATGGACTCGATTTCGCATGAGTTGTAGGCTGTTTTCTGTGACTTTGGTGCATCCTCGCACAAGTAAACCTTCCAGCTGTGGCAAATGGAGAGCTAGAGCTCTGAAATTAACAAATGTGTTTTTATACAATCAATATAATCAGATCATTACTGGAGTAAAAATAATCAATATTTTGTTGTTTACCTTACTCCCTTATCAGTGACATCACAACAGCCACTCAAGTTGAGAAGCTTCAGAGATTTACTATACTTAGACATTGTGTATAAACACTTATCTGTTACCTGCTTATTACCCTCCAGATTTAATGTCTTTATCTGTCGAAACTTTTTTATGAATATCAATATACCACTTTCAGATATGGAAACACAATAGGCTAAATCTATGTCTTCTATTTTACTCTTATGAAGAGCTAAGGCTTCAATAGCGCCTGTTGTGAGCCAAGAACACCTTGCTAACTTCAGAATTTGTAAATTATCACAATATAGTATAACAGGTTGTAGGCATTTTGCAGTCAGGTTCTTGCATTGGCTCAAATTTAAATGAATCAATCCAGTATTTTTACGTAATATAGGGATCAATTCTGTATCTGTTATTGAATCACATCTACTTAAATTGAGCAGTTTAAGTTTCGAACATGTTGTAACAAATACCTGTAAGTGTTTATAATTAAATGAACATACATTAAGTGTGTTTTCAATACAACGTATGTAAACCTACTTACATTAAAGGTGTGAGGCGAAAACCTCTTCTTCATCAGTTTCAAAGACCTTAACTTAGAAAAATACATATTGACAATTTGGAGACAAGTCCGTGATACACTGCGAAATATAAAACATTCCTGAATAGTAAGTAGAGGCATAATTTTTGCCACTATTATGTCTTCCCAATACAAGTCGAATAAATGAGTCTTCCGTTTCTTGTTCATTGTGAATGTTCTATTATGTTATACCTCAAAAAAAATACAAAGCATTTTTAATTTATAAAACATCAAATGTTATAATATTGATCTTCTTGAAATTAAATTCACTGTTTTCTTTTAATTTTCATACTCTTATATTTGAATTTTGAAATTTGAATATGCCAGTTGTCACTACTGAAGTATTCATATTTTTGTCAAAGCTGCTGCTGTAATCTGTATGTAGCTTGCTGTTGTCACAGAGTACTTTGTATGTATGCCGCGTTCACCAGGCAGGTTAATTAATAATTTCCCATTAGGGATAAATTAATATCATCAGACAGGTTACAGTTACAGAAAATTAGGTTTAAGGATCAGGATACTCTGAATAGTTTTCAATTATTGAAAATGGTGTGGTATTGTGGAATAATACTAATTATTAGGTAAAAGATCATAGAGGTGTGTCTAGAATTCAGAAGATGTTACGAAATTGGGCAATGTAATAAGGCAAACAGCCTTTGAAATATATACCTACACAATAATTACGTTTATCAATTGTATTAATTACGCAAATATTGTATCCATGAAAACGTAATCTGCTTGAAGATAGTCCAAATGCGCTATTGTTTAGAGTTGATACCGTTATCATTGAGGGTTTATATTATAATTTGATAGGTTATAGTATAATCTTCATTCAAGTTTATTTTTTACAATCTTTCATCTTTATATATATTAGGATAGATTCCAATATGGATAAATGATAGTTTACAGCCTATATTCCTACTTGCCGACCAAGGTCGGCTTTTACGAGAGTACGAAACAAAACAATTAAATAATTAAACATCAGATTCAATATCATCAGATCAAATAAGTACGTTATTTTAATACATTAAATTCAAAATATTTTATCTCGTGTTTCTCTATATCTACTCAAAGTCTTATTCAGAGTACGAGTAAGTGATTTCCAATTCCTATGTCACGATTCTGAGAATCTCACCTTTAGTCATATTGCAGTACCAGCCTGGTGAAGCGTGCGATCGTCGACTTGACTCGTGTTCCGTCGAGTTTGTGTGCTTCAGCTTTGGCTTTTCATTTTCTTTTAACCTACTTCCATAGAAAGTTAATTCAACCTGTTTTTTTATGTTCTTATTTTTTAAATTAATAATAGTTTGTTAACTAGAGTCTGGTTAATAAAAGAAGATAACGAAAAAGCGCGGCAAATTAATTTTTTTTTAGTATGGTATCCCTAAAAGTTTGATATATGTTGTGGATTAAAATTACTTGATAGTAGGGATGCAAAAAAGCGTATCGATACGCTTTTTTGCCGATACGATACCGATGCCGATACACTTAAAGGAATATCGTCGATACCGAAACCAATACCAACGCTTATTGAATTAAAATTAAATTAAGGTAAAATATATCAAGTTAAGCTAAAGTTTATAATTTTTATTAAATATATATACAAAAACTAGTCACAAACTTTGAATAATTTTAAAGGTGTTGTTACTAAAATTAAGAATTAAGAGTAATCATTAAATTAAAATAAAATAAATAACTGTTAATAATTAAAATTAACAATTATAATATTGTTGTAATTCTGTATTTTATTAAATTTGGTATCGAAAAAATACTACTCGCGATAGCAGTTAAAAGTCAACTAAATGATCTTCAAATCTACGTTCAATAAAGTCTCAATGATCCATAATATCAAATAACTATGCGCTGGCAAGCAGTCAACAGCATAGCAGTCCTAGAAAGTGTCTTTCAAAATATTGATTGGGGAAGCAGGGGCATACCGTTAATAAATCAGCACCTAACACATCTCAGATTCGCTAATGACATAGCTGTTTTTAGTGAAACTGCATCAGCGCTGGAAAAAATGCTGCAAATCCTGGATGTGGAAAGTAAAAAAGTAGGTCTGAGTATGAACCCCAACAAAACTAAAATCATGTCAAATAGCCTGCACAAACCTATAAAAGTAAATGACAAAATAATAGAGTATGTAGAGTCATATATCTATCTAGGGAAGCAGGTATCGTTTGACACCACCAACAATGACAAGGAAATTTGTAGGAGAATAAACATTACCTGGAACAGGTACTGGTCACATAAGGAGATTCTGAAAGGAAATTACAGTTCAGAATACAAAAAGATTGTAATGGACACTTGCCTACTACCATGCCTAACATATGCATGCCAAACATGGGTATTTGATAACAAAACCAAAAGTAAAGTAAGGTCATGTCAGAGAGCAATGGAGCGCAGTATGCTAAAATTAAAAAGGATACACAAAATCAGACACGAAACAATAAGAGAAAGAACTGAAGTTACAGATGCCTTAAAGCATGCACTGAAGCTAAAATGGAAATGGGCAGGACATATATCTCGCTTGAAAGATGATAGATGGACACTTACAGCTACTAAATGGCTAGGTCCAAGGGGAAAAAGGAGAGTTGGCAGACCTCAGAAACGCTGGGTCGATGACATTGTCCATGTTGCCGGAAAAGAATGGATGATCAGGGGTCAGGACAGAGAGGATTGGAAGCGGCTAGAGGAGGCCTATACCCAAGATAGGGATCCATACCTAGGAAAATAAAATATGGTACTAATAATACTAACATTTATTTCAATATTAAATTACTAAATAATATTACATATACTGTATTACTAACCACATTAACACAAAATTTTTAGTTTAGCTGTATTAGCATGTAATGTAAATGGTATGGAACGAAATAAAGGCTTTATTATTATTATTATTATGCGCTGGCAAACATAGTTGACTCGAGTAAAAATGTTGGTCTACTAATCCATCCAACAAGAGTTTTTCCTACTAACTGACGTGAGACTGATCGTAAATTATCGTGATTCATGTGCACTTTTTATTTTTCATGTAGACTTTTTTTTAGCTTATATTATGTAATATGTATTTTTGCCCTCCTTTTCATTTAATTATGTTCAATTTTTATATTGTAATGCAACAAAGTGTTAATAAATAAATAGTGTTTAGCGAAATGAAATACATATATTCATTATACATAAATAATAATGCTTTGTCCCCAAGCGAATGATAGAGACAACAAACTGAATAAAACGCGGGTATTTCTCGGGCAACAATAGTCCGTGGCTCGTTTGCAACAAACTAGATTATACAAAATGCGCGTTTACATTATTTTTTAAAGCGTGAAATTTGAAAAGTATCGGTGAATCGGCAATGAAAATATCGCCGATGCCGATGTATCGGTAAACCCAAAGTATCGCCGTTATATCGGTATCGGCATCGGTATCGGATGCATCCCTACATTGATAGTAATTGTATTTCTATGAAATTAAATACTATACGTATTTAGTCTCTTACTATTGATACTTAAAATGAGCATTGCATGGAAAACTATATTTATTATAATACACAACTTTATTCGGAATAATCAAATCCTGCGAAAGAAACGAAATATTCTATCAAATAAAACAAAGTTTAGGCTATTGTACCTGTTAACTATTTGGAAAAAATATATAATAGAAATAAAAATGAGTAATTCCATGAAGTATCAAGATAATAAATCATACTAACCTAAAAAATTCAATGACATTCTGTGTTGCCATCCGAAAGTTTTCAAATAATACAATTATCTTCTTTCATTAGCCATCTCAGACTCTATAAGTGGTAATTAGCTATTGTTTGTGTGAAAAAGCGCCAAAAAAATTAGTAAGTCATAGGGTGAGATTCCTATTCTTAGATTAATCTTACCATAGACAAGGTATATTAAGTATATGTAAAACAACAAAGACAAATTTGGCCAAGAAAGAAGTTAAAACGTCAACATCGTCACGGCATTGTTACGTAAAACTGTCATCTACATCTATGTACAAATATTTTAAATACCACACGCGAAGATTTAATTAGAAAATTATATGTAGTAGATTCCATACTGCACATTTATGTTTGAGATTGCATTGCAACGTAATTTCCTGTGGTTATTTTCACATTATAGAATAATTTGTTTGTATAGTTTTCAGGGTCGGATGGGGCTACAGCATCGGCGCCCCCACAATAGAGACTTTGAAAAAAAAAATGTTTTAAATTGCGACTAATAAACACATTAAAATTAGTGATATTTACCTACTTTAAGAACATTTAACAACTTAATGCTTGAATTCGCTGGCTTTTCATAATATATAACTTTTATTTCTTTTATTATAAAAACATGTATTACTTTAATTTTCGTTTTTTTTCATTATTTAAGAATCCATCCTCACTTTTACCATTAGAATAAACTATAAATTATTATAGAAATAATCATTAAAATGATTTTATATCATGCAGTCAATACATTCTTATTACGCATAAGAGAAAAGGGGGTAAAAAAATGGACCAGCAAAATCCACATTATTATTTCTTGACCTTTTCTTAACTCAATTCCGTTGGCGAAATTCGACACTCACATTTTGCATACTCACATACCTCTATCGCCCGGTCTATATTATAATAGTAACACTATAGTCAAATAAGATCACTGAATAAATTTAAAACTCTCGTTAAACGTAAAATATCAATAAAACTATAAATAAATTTGACTCATTTCACTCTCATTTGAATCCCGGGATTGATTTGCTCCAGTTCGAACAATTTGTATGACTCAAAACTTGGCGATTAAAAAGAGTGGCGGAGAGTTTCTTGCCCGCTCTACGCCTTTGTAATAAGTACTTGTAAATAGTAATTGTAATTGTAAATTTAGAATCAATTTAACATCTTTTCTGTTGACTTTCATAAGTGTACTTGGTTACCTATTATATGAATAAAGTTATTATGAGTTTGAGTTTATTTTGAGATGTTGTAAGTTATAATTGAAATATACAATACATATAAATAATAAACTCTAGAATTTACTAGATTATTCAATCGAAGATAATTCGTAATTTTATAAGTAAATACCGTTCATTGTCTAATGGTAAAACAAATCAAATTTTTCCTGTCCTTGATCAGTTTTCTTTATAGGCCAAGGTTGCACTTCGGTGCCTGACATACT